GGGAAGAAAAAAAAAGGTTTTTCAAATTAATAATGTAGAATATGTAATAGAATGAAAATGTGTTAAGATAGCTCTAAAACAAATAAAGTCAAATTGGAAAAGCCCATGTATTCATTATTGAGTATAATGAGATACTCAAATTTGAAAATCCCATGCATTCATTATTAAGTATAGTGCGATACTCAAATTTGAAAACCCCATGTATTCATTATGTTGTTGCACGCCCCCATTTACCAGCAGTGCTAGACCAGGTCCATGATCCAACACCGTCCATGGATCATCTTGGTGAGACCCAGGCACGCGAGGATGAGGTGAGGCAAAGCCTGCTCTGAATAACAGTTGGATGGGGAAAAGTTGCAGCCTCTGTAAGTCCCAAGGACCAGAGCATTTAAAGAATAGGTAGAGGACCGACTTAGCTCTTGGTGGTATCCCATTTAGTCTGGCTCCTACCCTACGAGTACCTGTCCGGCTTGGGAGACCCTACCGGATGTATTTATTATTGAGTATAGTAAGATAATCAAATTTAAAAACCCCATGTATTCATTATTGAATATAGTAAGATGCTCAAATTGGAAAAACCCATGTATTCATTATCGAGTATAGTAAGATGCTCAAATTGGAAACATCGTATACTCATTCTTTTGCGCATAATTTCAAGAATGCTGGGGACGGATGAATGTGTGAAACAGATGACCGTTAAGCTACCGCCAGGATTTGAGACAAGGACCCCCGGATTCGTAGTAGGATGCTCTAATCATCTTAGTTGTACAGTACCCAAGAAGAAAAAAAATGTATCCCCCTGAATATCTTTCGTTCTAATGATCGGATTTTCACGTATGTCAATTTTAATGGTTTCTGGGGGTGACTTCAAATATGCTAATCAATTAGTTCTAATTATTAAATAAATTTCGAAATCAGACACAAAAACGCACTTTCTCTGGATAAACATATATATTTTTTTACATATTTTGATTCCTGATCCTCAAAATAAGGGGGGGGGGAGACAAATTTGATCAAAAATTGGGGTGCTAGAAGTTATATATATTTATCGTCGTCCCAAGAAGAGGCCTAAGAAGGAGGCGAAATTTAATGTAACCATACTCAAATAATAAAAAAGAATGAAATAAAAACTGAAGCCATTTATTGTTTTTGTGTTAACTAGGCTTTTTTTTTAAATAGTTGACAAAAAATCTTGAAGTTTCTAGTCAGCAAATTTGTTTTTGTTTGATTTCTGCTCAAAAAGTAAAGATTGCTCTCGTTTTCATCTCCATTAAAAATAAAATTTAAATCGATTCATAAATTATTGATAATTATCCAAGATTTTAGTATTTGAACACATGAACTTTTTATGCCGCATTATTTACATTTTAAGTTGTTTTTAATTCCTTTAAAAATGAATATTTTATTCAAAAACCAAATTTGCTTTATTTTAATTGCTTACAGAGTTGTAGGGCAAATCATGAAAAAGATCTTGAAAAAAATGTTAAATATCTGTAAAATATATTACTTTTTTTAATATGTAATTGAAGAAATTAGTGAATATTACGTGACATTTTAAAAAGATAGAAATGTGTATGTTTAAGAATATTGTATGATTCATTTTTAAAGAAATCGTTTCATTCTACCAAATGTGTGACTTACGTGGCTTTCTTTAGATAAAGATAATTTGCAAATAGCATTCTGATTTTCTTATACATTCTGGATTTTCGTAAATTCACCATAAAATGTCGCTCATCATGTTCAACAGTTAGGGTCCCCAAATATTGCTATCATAATTTCTTTGCTTTACTCCTTTTATTACTAACTTATATTAGGATTCTAACCATCATTACATACATTTATCTGATACGATAGTCTTCTTTTAAACAGAATTCGTCAGGTCCTTAAGAAACTGCAGTAGTGGCAGCAAAATAAGAAGATAGATGCACTTTACTACGCGTTTATATTCACCGCAGCATTAAATGATCAATTTCAATGTATATAACTTCAAGCATCTAATTACAGAATCTTAAGTTTTGAGATTTTAATTTTAAAGATCTTCTTTATTTTAATATAGAAGGTGCCACGGTTTTTAAAGATTTTAAAGACCGCATGAACCCTGCTGAAATAATAATTTACAGATGTTTGATTCTTTCAGCATAAGAATCTGATCAAAATAATGATCAAGAAGGATCCAAAGTAACACACCTCATGGTACAGATAAAAATTAAATAAATAAAAACAAAACTAGAAAAACCGCAAAAGACGGGAAAGGCAAATCAGGGCAAAATGCATTTCCACGAGCCATTTCCACATCCCTAATGTCGTTAACAAAGGAATTGGCATTCATATGAATAAAACAAGATTCCCTGATATCAAGGTGAGCTGATGCGGCAGGGTGGTTAGAATTTTGGCATTTTCGGGATTAAATTTATTCCAACTATGCAAAGAATGTGTAGCAAAGGATTATCACATTCTTGAAAAAGGACTTATCTACAGTGTTCCTTTAGTCTAAATATTGAAGCCAGTCTGGTTTATACAACGATGGCTCAGGGGATAGAGCGTTCGCTTTCCAATGAGGTGAACCGGAGTTCGATCCCTGTGATGGCTGGTCGATACGAATTCCACATCCGGCTTGCACCGACCGCAGTGCTGACATGAAATATCCTCAGTGGTAGACGGTTAGAATCCCCTTGCCGTGAGGCTAACCGTGGGAGGTTCTCGTGGTCTTCCTCTCCATGTAACGTAGATGCTGGTTAGTTCCATCAAAAAGCCCCACACGAAGGCAAATTTCTCCCAATACTTGATCCAGGAGATCCCTTGATCCTAGATCGGTGCCTATTCTTGAGCTTGCCGAACATTTGCTTCAAACGTTGCCATTCTCAGGGACTCGTGACTCGTGTGACGTGAATGACTCGTGACGTGATTTTTTGAGCGCTCAAAACATGTTGACTTTTATTTTTGTATTTTTGAAGATAGTGAAATTTTTTATCTTTCCGCTACAGTTTCTGGGGATTATTCATTCTGTGACGCGGAATATTGAATTAAAATTTTTAACGCGATATCAAAAATAGTTTTAGATAAGATAATGATTATGGCTATTAGATTGAAAAAAAAATCATAATATGAAATTTGTCAAAACTTTCTAAAAAGCTCAAAGCAGAACATCTTTATTTATTCATTCATATATTCATTTATCATTGAATTTTATTTTGTTTCATTTATTTATTTATTTGACTGCTGCTCTGAAAAACATTTTTTTAGAATGTTAAACAATTCCGTCTACAATCGAAATTTCAAAAGTCGAATGAAATGGAATGACCTCTCTCCCCTGAAATCAAAGTTAAGTGGTTACTAACAAGGGAAACTAGGGAAGTGTGACTCGCCAATTTTGAAATAAACTAGTGGGATGTATGCAGGTGACGAACCTCCTAATGTT